TTCTACTTCTACATATATACAAATCTGTTCTTTCTCCCCAGAAGTTAGATTTTCGCTTTAACGCAAGAGAGAATGGATGGAAAAGGGGTTTTATGCTCTGATTTGGCCCGTCTCCCTTCTTTGTTTATAGAAGGGAAGAAACAGAGCTGGGAAATGAGCAAAGTGGAATGGTGGTTCTCCTCGAAAGCCAGCCAAGAGAGAACTCCTAGGGCATACTAATGCTGGACACAAGCATAAATTGGGAGAGTTACATATTTTATCTTTTGGTCAGACAGTTGGTCTTGATGATCATTGTAGGTCCCTTCTCACTGAAAGCCATTCTATCTATCCCCTCCTTTACCCTTCTGTCCTCAGAATGCTTCCCTAGTGTGTCAAGGGAAATATGGGTTGGATATTAGGAAAAAGTTTTTTACAGAAAGGGTGATAAAGTTCTGGAATGGTCTGCCCAGGGAGGTGGTGGAGTCATCATCCCTGGATGTGTTTAAGAAAAGCCTGGATGTGGCACTCAGTGCCATGGTTTAGTTGAGGTGCTGGGGCATGGGTTGGACTCGATGATCTTAAAGGTCTCTTCCAACCTGGTCATTCTGTGAATTAGTGGCTCCTAGTTAAGATTTCGTTCTGCAGTCTTGCATTTCAGCTACCCAAGGCCAATCAGAGTCCTGGAGGTTATTTGTGACTGGTGATGTTTATAGTGCCTGTATCTATCAAAGCACTGTTAAAACACTCACTTTTTATCAGCTCATTTAGGGTGGGAAAAGAGAACATAGCGGAAGAGTTCTAAATAAACAGAAGCGTGCTTTCATTTTAAACAGAGCTGGTTCCGAGCGAAAACGCAGCGCAGGAGATTTTTACGGGATTACCGCAGAGTGGTGGGGCTGCAGCGCGCCGTTCGGGGCTGGCTGAGGCGCAGGCAGCGCGCGGCCGCCGTCATCCAGAGGAGCGCGCGCGCCTTCCTCGCCCGCAGGCGCAGGGGGAGACTCGCAGCGGGAATAGTCAAATTTCAGGTAAACGCCTCTTGTAACAAAATAACAGGTTTGGGTTTGTTTCTTTTTATTAGCTGGGTTTTTTTCTCGTGGGTTTTGGGGGAGAGGAACGATCTTTGGTTTGGTTGATGACTTTATCGGTGAAATTGCAAGCCAAGTCAGCTTGGGTTTAGACATGGAAGCTGAAGGCAAACAGATCATGAAGGAATAAGCTGATAATGGTTGAGATTACTTAGTGGGAGTGTGTATGGACTGAATATGCATGGAGATTTTTGCCTTTTGTCTTTGAAAGTCCAGTATTTGAAGATAAAAAAATAAACACTGAGTGTTAATGCCTTAAAATTGAATAGCCAAGGCCATTCAATACTTTGTCAGACTTGTATAAAATGGATTTGGAGTGGTGATGGAAGTTCAGTTGTCTTGTCTCTCCTTTACAACTATTTCTCTTTGTGGAATTCCTTTTCTGTAGGCATTGTGGAGGGGATATTCTTGGAGAAAGAAGACTGACACAGCAAAAACCAGAGCTTTAAGGCGCAGTTTAGAAAGGGCCAATGAAAACAGCAGAGAAGAAAACACCCTGGGCAACAGAACTGCAATTGCAATTGATCACCTTCTAAAATACAAACATCTCTCCTACATTCTTGCAGCACTAAAGCATCTTGGTCAGTATTTTATTTTATTGTAACTGATGGATTTTCTGAAGGATCCAGAAAACTGGATTTTTTTCAGCTGAGGAGAGTTTATAATGATATTTAGGCTTTCTGCATGACTATAAAATGTGAGTGTTAGAGGGTATAATGGAAGGTTTTCCAGACCAAAATTGTATGATTGATTTAAGAACAATATTTAAATGGTTATGTAGAGAAAGGAAATCCTGTATGATTGCTCTAATTTTCTGTAAGTCCTAGTAGTGCTATACCTAATATAAGTTTATCATTTTTACTATATATGTTCTCTGTGGACATTTTGTTTTCTTAATTGTTAGTCTAGCATATTAAAACTATTGATTTAATAACACTTAAATCAATAATTGCAATTTTTACTTTGCACTTTTAAGTTAAAAATAGAGAAAATCCTAGTTTGTAAGTATTTTGCTTGAACTTCAGAGTTTTCTTTTCTCTACTTGTTTTTCTTTAATTGTTTCAGAGGTGGCTACCAGGCTGTCCCCACTGTGTTGTGAAAATATGGCTCAGAGCAGAGCAATCTTCAGTGTTTTCCTTCTGATTCGAAGCTGCAACCGGAGTGTTCCATGCATGGATGTGATCAGATACTCAGTTCAGGTTCTACTCAATGTTTCAAAGGTAACTTGAATATTTTCTTTGGAGGTTTATAAGCAGTAGGCTTCTTTATTGTAGTACTTGTTTATCCACAAAATTTCTCAACTATTCTGGAGCAACAGAAGTAGTAGTTTTGAATAAAAATAGATTCTGATTTTTCACTGTTGTTTTGAAACCAGTTATTTATTTACTTTGTAGTAGTTATATGAAGGTTTTTGCTGAAAAAAATTATTTCATGACCTTAAGGCATTGCAAGTTATCACAAATATTTTTAAATTTCTCTGAAATTATTCTAATTTATTTCTTTATTGTAAATAGAGAATCAGATTCTATGGGTTTCTAAACAAGGGAGGAAGCAAAAAAGGCACTTTCTTATAATCTGTTACAATTGTGTAAATACAGAAGTGAATTGTATTGCTTGGATAGCAGTTCAGCTACAAATTTATTCTAGGGGAGAGTATATGGGCTTTGCTTTTTCCTCTAACCTCTAAATAGTAACCTGTAAACTAAGGATACTTTAAAGATCTGTCTATAGAAGCTCTCTTGTCTCTTTCTTGTTTAACAGTATGAAAGAACTACTCGAGCAGTTTATGAAGCTGAAAATTCTATAGATACTTTACTAGACCTACTGCAAATGTACAGAAGCAAAGCTGGGGACAAAGTTTCAGAGAAAGGAGGAAGCATTTTCACAAAGACCTGTTGTTTGCTGGCCATCCTTTCGAAGGACTCTAAAAGAGCTTTGGTAAGACCTAAATGTTTTGGGTTTAATAGTTTAATTTAACATACTTGCATGTTTTGGTGGTGTTTGTGATTTTTGTTTTTTTTCTCTCCCGTACCTGTTATGGCTGTAATATTAATTTCAACTAAACTGTGATTTAAAAAAATGCATTTCCAAGATGGTGAACACACTCATGTTTTCTTGCTTTAAGCTGCTTTTGAACTTGCAGTATTGACTGTGTGCTGTTTTCACCTTTCCTCAGGAAATCCGAGGCATGCCAAGGACTGTTTCTTGCATCCAGAGCCTCTATAAGCTCACAGCTCGGAAACACAGGATGGATGCAGAGAGAACACTTGTGAAGCAGAAAACAAACACTGCCCTAGGTGGGAGCTCCTCTGTTCCAGTAACTCCTCTAAGAATAAAAACTGTTTCAAGGTAAGTGCTTAAAAATTAGTCTTCTACTTCTGCTGTGACATTGAAATATTCTAATGCAAGCCACCAATCTCTTCACAGGATTAAACCAGACTGGGTCTTGAGGAAAGATACCATGCAAGAAGTCGTGGATCCTCTGCAAGCAATTCTGATGGTGATGGACACACTTGGTATTGCCTACTACTGAAATGTAAATGATGTATAGGAAGATGTATTTGTACAGTATGTATGTAGTAAATGGATAAATGATTTTTTAAAAAAGGAAATAAGTGTTAAACTACCATTGGAAATGTTTTTTTAGATTAACATTAACATTTTAATAACTTCTTGTATTGCATACAGTTTTGAAACCCTATTTTGTACTATTATCAAAAGCAATTGTACAATAAAATCAATTCTCTGGATTTTACTGGAAATTTCACTGGTGCAGTAATATATTGTTGTCCCACAACTATGAATATTAAAATAGCATGGGATTCTTCACTCTGATTAGATATTGTAGAATTCTATTAAAAGCAGTTGTTTTTGGGGGACAGTAATACGTGATCTAGAGAGGTGCAGAAAGGGAGGCTTGGGCTGTGGATTTCAAAACTGGCTGGTTTTGGGGAGCTTGAGTCTACTAATGTCTTGAGGGATCATGTATGGCAGCAAGAAAAGAAAATCTAATTTCTCTATTTTGTAAACATTGCAAGATAGTGATGGAACAACAGGGTGTTGTAAGTGTGAATTTAGAAATTCTGACTGACATTTTAAGGGAGGTGATCTGTGAGTTTTTTCCTTCCTATCAAGTGAGCAATACATACAAGCATGCATCTCCTCTGGCTGAAGAGATTGTGTTCATCACAGCATCCCTGTTCATTCTGTTCTCTTCTGCATTCTCAGAATTGCATTTTCTCATAGAAAGGCCAAGATAATGCAAACTGTAAAATTATACCCTCCCATTCCCAAATTTAAGCATTATATCTCTAATGATGCTAAATCAACTGAAAGCTATTAGTCAGTGAATTAGGTTCATTTTTTTGTTTGTTTTTGTTTGTTTGTTTTTTATTTTTAAAAAAATACTTGGAAGAGGCTTGCTGTATTCAACACAACTCAGACAGATAATAATAGTGGCTATGTTGTTCGTGTAAGAAGCTCCAAAATTATGAATATCTATAGCATGCAACTGCCTGGTTTACTCAGGGGCTAAGCTGGAGGATGGGGGAATTGTCTATTTCCTCTGATTTCAGCCAAGGTAAATAGGCTGATAACAGAATGCCCTTTAAACTTGGGACTCTGGGAGTTGTGAGTGGAATAGTAATCAGTAAGCTTAAATTGTTCCATAAGCTTGTTGCCTGATTTCACTGTAAAATGATAAATTACTGGTGGCAAAGTGTCAAATGGAAGTAGAATCCTGCCAGTCTGGTGCTAAGGTATTTGGAGAATTAATACAAATGAAAATCGTTTTTCCAATTAATTAACTTTTTACAAAATACCATAGACATTGAGGCATTTGTTGAATACCTTTGAAAATTCAGTTAATTATTTACAAAAGTAATACTTAGGGAGTTTCACAGATGGTGGAAACTGTAGATGGAGACAGTAAAGAAGATGAGATTTAAAAGCTATTTTATCTTCCTAGTTATGGTGTGTTCAAGGAAACTCTTTGCAGAAGGTAAATACACTGAATTCTATTGTACATTGAATCTAGAATATGCAGTCTTGGTAGCTTAAATGCAATGTCTTTCATCTCTTTACTGAGTAAACACTGCTCTTTAAATTTAAATACAATTCTGTTGTGACATGGCTGATGATCACGATTCGGCTGTCGCTGATTCCTGTCTAAGCCTCAAAGCTGTCATATTGAAATGTTCAGCCTTTAGTTCAGAAGCAATTTCTTTAGGAATGTACTATTAGAATACGTACTATTTGAAATTTTGTACTATTAAAACATTTCATGTCTTGAAGTGTCTTGGGGACTGAAGTATTTTTCACTTTGTTACAAAGCAAAATAGTGGAAGTTAAATGGAGCCTGCAGAAGTTAATGTGGGGTGGTCCTGCATTTTTCTATCCCCATTTTCAGAACTGATTTCCTCTTTTTGTTGTTTTTGGGGTTGTTGTTTGTCTTGGTTTTGTTATTTTGCGGTTTCTTTAGGTAACTTTATATCATATTCAGCACTACTCTTTAAAAATGTTTTCTCTTATTACTGGAGATTGTTGTTTTAGGGTTTTTTTTTAATTGCCATTGTGCTTATTTCCTTAATCTTCATTTCTTGTTTCTTTTCTGTTGATTGTTCTTAAATTCCCTTTCTTAAGCAAGCCTAACTCCTGTATTGCCTCCTAGCAGCTTGTCCTACTTTTCTGGCAGCATTTTCCGAATTAAGGAGCTGGGGCACTGCTAATCCTGACACTTGTCACTGAATTTTACAGTAGGCATTGGTATGTCTGTGCAGCAAAGGGTTCTCATGCTTCTGGGCAAAATAGAATAAAATAAAGGTGTCCTGCATCTGTTTTGCCCAGTTCACATTAGGAGGTTTTATTCTACAGCTGATGTTCTTGTGAACCCTAGGAGCAAAACCTGATGAAATTGTAGTATGTCTTAATTTCAGCAGATCTTAAAAGATCCTTCATGCTTGTAAGTATTCAGAATTTTCTTCTTGTTTGAAAGTCTGAATCAGTCAAGCTGATATTAGATAAATTAATCTAATTAAAAACATTCATATCTGGGCTGAAATTTTTAGTGGGAAATATATTGACCTTTTTACAGATACACCTTGTGATTTGCCACTGATAGAAAATGGAAACCTTGCCCAGTACTATTACAGCTTCAGAAGTTACTATTTCCCTATGCATAAAGGAAAAAAGCTCTCCTATTCTTGTATGGTTGGTTACACAACTGAAAGTGGGACTCAAGATGGAAGAATAACTTGCACAGCAAAAGGATGGTCTCCAGCGCCACGATGCTACAGTGAGTTAGCTTTATTCACCTCCTCATGGCTTCCTGCAGGAGCATTTCCTGGCTGGTTTTCCTGGGACATAGAGGAAAAGAAGGTGCATAACAGAAGGGATAAAATGTACAGGGTGCAATCAATTATTTTTGTCAAGACTACATATTTTTGCAATAATACTTATTTTAAGGGCATTTTCCCCTTTCTATTCTTTTTATAAGAACATAAAGTTTTCCAGTTTTCTTAGTCTGGGAAAACTATTAGTTTTCCCTTAGATGTATAACTTCTTGAGTCTCCCTAGCTCTAGATTCCTTGCCTGTATTCCATGTGGTTACCAGTGGTTTGCTGTATTGTTTGATGACTGGAGCAGAGTTTCTTCACCAGGTCGAGAAAATCAGATTAGATCAGTATAGCTACAAACCCCTTCTTTTGCTTGCAGGAGAACAGAAATAGTCCATTCTTTCTAACCAAGCTGTCTTCTTTCCTTCAGGAAAATGCACCAAGCCTGTCTTAGAAAATGGCTCTTTTTACAGTACAGAAATGGACTTCAAAATCCATGAGAAATTGCAATATCAATGTAATCCAGGCTACCACACCCCAAGTGGTGCTACTGAAGATACAGTGCAGTGTCAGCCACAAGGATGGTCCTCCCAGCCAAGCTGTACTAAAACACTTGGTAGTATTCTGCATTTTTCTCCTCTCTAATCTCTTGCAGCAGTATATCATCCCACTGTCCTTGCTGTTAGCTGTGGGCCCAAAGTGCCTACGACAGGCTGTCGTTTGAGCGCTCCTAAAGCAGGCTCAGCTGTACCTCTGGGAAAAAGCTTGTCAGGTTTCACATGCCGCTGCTTTTGTGCTTTTGTAAAGATATGTAAAATGATACATGTAAAATGAATCAGCAGAGATTAAATCACACTGTTTCAAATAAATCCATTCCCATACAAACTTTCTGTTCCAAACGACAAGTGGCAAACTTGCGCTAACAACTGCATTGGTAGTTATTGGTAATTTTGCCTGGGCTATGGCCCCTTTTAAGGTGTATCTAAGGGAAGCTTTGGAATACTCCCAAGAAAAAGAGCAGCTAACATCATGCCTGTGCTTTGTTTCTTTGAGAGTCGTGCCAGGTGCCCCGGCTGGAGCACGGCAGCTACGCGGGCGCGGCGCGGGAGGTGCGGCTGAACGGGACGCTGCGGCTCCGCACGGCCGGCGGCAGCGCCTCCGAGAGCGCGCCGTGCCTGCGGCTCGGCTGGGCCCGCCCGCCCGGCTGCACCCGTACGTCATCCCGCTGGAAACCCCTGACTGCAGGAGCAAGCGCCTGCTGCCGGGAGCCGGCTGGGCTCTCACTGCTGTGTTTTCTTCCCAGGGGTGACCTGCTCCGCTTTGAGCGAAGTAGCTCACGGAGGTTTCTATCCTGTGAAGAAAGCCTATGAAGAAGGAGATGTAGTTCACTTTTTCTGTGACAAACATTATTCTGTCACTGGATTTGACTTAATTCAATGCTATAATTTTGGGTGGTATCCAGACCCTCCAGTGTGTGAAGGTACCCTGCTTTTCTAGTTCTACTGTGTCAAATTCTTAGACAAAAGCTCACACCTTCTTTCAAGAAATGCTTTATGAATGCCAAAAAAAAAAAAAAAAAAAATACAGTTTGTAGCCTAAATGTAAATCAAATGTTAGTTAAAAAGCAGGGAGCAAGGGAGGCTATGGTAATTGGAACTACATTTCAGTGAACGCTGACAGCAGGACAGATACTGTCTCATACTGTTGCCTGTCCCAGTTGTATCCTGGAGAAGCAGGAATCAACAGTTACAGGGAATTTTTTAGACACTGAAGCTCAATAAGTTGTTCAGAATACATGAAGGGTTAACCAGGCCTGCTTAATTGTGCCTTGTGGGATGGGGAGGTATCTTGAGAGGCATTAAAAATAAAATTTGTAACAAGGTCCTGCTTAGCTTGTGGTACTTTTCAGAGTTGTTCAGCCTCCCCAAACTTTACCTGTTTTGAACAGATTAAATAAAAGGTTGTCCTGAGGACAGAAATACACCTTTAGCAATTGTTATCACTTCCCCAGTGACGGGGGGATAATGGAGACTCTCAGTAAAGAAAGTTCCAAAAGAATGCGAGGTGAACCTGCTGAGATATAGAACAGAGCAGGAAGCAGCACAAAACAACCTTTACTACAGCTTTGACTCCAGCCCTGTGTTTATTCTCATGACACAGCAGGAACTTTTCTTGAGTGAGTGCAGAGAAGGTGGAGATGCTCAGGAGGATGAAGACAAGGCCTAAATCTACTTTTGAGGATACAGTAATCACAAACTTAATTTGGAGATAGGAAATGGGCTATCTTTATTGCTTCTTCTGTAGCATTAGAATTAATACATAATCTGCTTTAAATATTATATGAATGGAAGGTATGGGAAATCTCTATTTCCTGGAGTCCTACAAAGAACATTTTATTAAGTCTCTGTGGAGAAATTACAAATTTGTTTATAGCAGTACAATGACATAGTACTTCTATTTCATATTTGTGGAATGCAAAATCACTTGTTTGTTCAGTCTCCCATTGCATTAAGAAAATTTTATTAAGAAATTACTCCAGCTTAGCCAAAAAAAAAAAGCCTTTTGAGTGATAGGCTTGCATTGTGTATGGTGAGCTTAATTGTGTACGTGGCTCTGGTAAGAGAGAAATCAATATGCAATTTTTCATTTTCAGATGTAAAAAATAAATGTCCTCCACCACCACTCCCTCATGGCCATACCAGCACAGCCAGAAGAACTTATCATAATGGAGACAAAGTTCGTGTACAGTGTACCTTGGCAAGGAGAGGATCTGAGGAAATCCAGTGTGAAGGAGGAAAATGGACATCCCCCTCTAACTGTATTGGTGAGTTACTTCTGTGAAGGCTGACAATGGAACTGAAATGATTCTTCAACCTTTGCCTTAACTTTCTGGAGAGTCTCAGTTTCCATATCTGCAGAACTTCCTCTCCTCTTTCTTCTCCTTCCTCTCTTAAAAGGCTTGGTGGGCAAAGTGCTGCATATTTTGCAGGAAATCCGTGGTTCCCAGATTAAAAAGGATCAGCTAGGTGAATTCAGCTGCCACCTGGGACATCTTCCCTGGAAAACTGGGATTATTACATTTGACGGTGCCTCATGTCTGTCTGTTTTAGTACTTTAGAATGAGCTGTTTGTGTGAAGACTGGTTCTGAGTCTCTGCTATGGTTACAGGAGCTGTGGATAAGCAGGAATCTGGGACAGCACCACCACCACTCGAGGCAGATGCAGAAATAAGGGCAAGCCAGACACATCCCAATGAAGATATGATAGGTGAACATTGCTCTTCTTTTCAAAAGGGACTCTCCAATCCAATTATAGGCACTTTATGACTACTTTTATTCTTTTGCTATAGGACAGTTCCTTATTTTTGAAAGTGCTTGCATGGGCTACAGATGTCAATGTAGCCAATAAATAAAAGGCCATTGTTGCTTCTTTCTAAATTACACCAATAAGCCTGCTCTGTATTTGTAATTTTATTTCATACAGAGCATTTACTTTCAGTCATTTTGTACCCTTTAGTATTATTTGGACATGCAAATTCATGAGTATTTTGTTGTTCCTTTGACTAATATTTACAATGAGGATTTTTTTGAACCACACATAGATGAAATATTTCAAGTAACAAATAAGATGGTCTACATCACCTAAAAAGAACTAATCTGTATTGAGTGTAAACCAGCAAGAGTCAAAAGTAGTCATAAATGTAAAGTGTGGAGGGAAATAAAATGCATGTCTGCAATTCAGAAAGGCAAGTGTAGAGTTTCTGAAAATGAAATTTGGAAAAGGAATTATATTGGTTTGGATTCTATTTGTTTGCAAATTTTTTGCTCAGTCTAGTATTGGTCTAATACTTTCACCAGTGTTAACAATGTTGTAATCTAATCAAGATCGAATTGCCTTTCTCTCTGTCCCATATCAGAAATGCAGCAAGACTGTGCTTCTCCACCTGTGGTTAAAAATGGGGCTGTCCTGGGCCCATTGCTGGAGAGTTACAAAAATGGTTCCTGGGTAGAATATGGTTGTCAGCATTACCACTTTCTGGATGGGCCCAGTACAGTTTATTGTCACCATGGAAACTGGACAGAACAACCAACCTGCTTAGGTGAGTCTTGGAAGGAAAAGCCAGTTTGTCATATGTAATATAAAAAGGGAAAATTGGAAGGAACCTCTAAATATTTTTTTCATTACCATCTTTTCTCTTTCGTTGGCATTAATAAAGATTCCAGAAATACGAGGATGAACTAAAATTAAATTTTTAGCAGGCCTCTCCTGCTGGGTATGCTCTGACCTGTTCTTACAACCACCCCATTAAATAGATTCCTCTGTTTCCTGAGTGAGCTATTCTAGTACATAGCTATCCTTGTTTCCTCGGGGGATTCTCCAATTTCTTTCCTCCAAGCTGTCCATTCAGTTAATTTCTTCCTGCCTTTCAATAGATGATTAGAAGGAATGGTGTGGCCATTCCCAAAATGGCTTTTAGATACAATTAACAAAGAATTACCAATGACTTCTTGGACTTTTGTTTTTAAACTTTCAGGCTTTTTTTTTTAATTATGTGTCTTTATATCTGTTGTTTCATCCTGGTGTGGACTTTCAAATTTGTCTGTGCTGCTTTTATGCATGCTGCTCAAAACAATGTATAGAACTCCCACTAGAGAATTACCAGTGCTAGCAGGAATACAATCAAGGGTTGTTTGTTTATCTTTCCTTCCTTCCTCTAATGAAATAATTAAATTTTACTAACATCCTGTGTTAAATTGGCTCACCTTTCAGTTTAATCTACCATGAAAATGAAAATACACAATCAGTTCAGTTTTAATTACATATTTCTAAATGAACAGAAGTTACCTCATCTAGACTTCATCTAGAAAGGTTCAGGTCAGCATTTTTGGATCTGAGTACTCAAATTTAACAAATCCTGTGAAATAATGAAATCTCATCTCCTGTGAGCATTATTTGTCTCGTTAGCATCCCAATAAACCCGTCATCCTTTGCATGTATTCTGAGATTTCTTTTCAATGCTCACCTAAACAGTCCAGAAAGAGCCCATGCTGATGTTAGCTTCAGGAAAATTCCAGGGGAATTTGGTGTTACACTGAGCTTCAGGAAAATTCCAGGGGAATTTGGTGTTACCCCGCTGTCACCAGACTGCCAATAACTGAGTTCTCCTTGCCTTTCCCTCAGCAGAGCATCAGTAAGGGCTTTTATCAGCCAGTGCTTCTCATGGAACTTGTAGAAATTTATTTTTGTAGGTGACCCTCTGTTAGGCTTTGTTGACATTGAACAGTGGTTTCAGAAGTTAACAAGGTTAATCATCTAATGGAAAGCTACACTCCCTGATGTAATCCTGGCACTGGGTTTTAAGAACCTGTCAGAAAGCAGCCATTCCTTTTGCATGTGCTTGGTTTTTGTTGTCACTTCAGACCATTTCTTTCCATTTGCCTCTTTTTATGCCTCTGTAGTTTTTTGTCTTGCAAGATTCAGACTCATTTTAGAATTATTGACTTGGGGTTCTCTTTCTTCACTCCTACAAAAGGGAGCTAAGAAGCCAGTTAAGGTGGCTTTTTGTTAAAATACATTTTTATTTCCTAGAACCATGTATGCTGAGTGTAACTGATATGGACAGCAACAACTTAACATTGAAATGGAGACGGGAAGAATTAGTGTTCCTCCATGGAGATCTCATAGAGTTTGAATGTAAACAGGGATATAGTTTTCTCCAGACTGCCATTCCATCTCCTGGGAGGACACAGTGTGATCAAGGCAGACTGAATTATCCAAAATGTGTTCTTCAAGGTAAAGCAATAATTTTTTAATTGCGTTTTTAATTAATCAATCTTAGACCTATTTAGAAATTATTTGCTTTGCTTTTAGTGTGGACCTCAACAATACAGATGCACAAAGCAGCTATACTGCTGAATATAGCCAAGCTTGGAAAAGTGATACACCTCCTTTTGCTCTTCAAGGCTGTAGAAGGGAGTGGGAAATCTCTGCTCTGAGCCCAGGAAACTGAAAGCTCTGTAGAAAGAGAGCTGTAAAAAGAAAACTTTAATGTTAATTTAATCTATGATAAAGCAGTCAATTTGTTAGATTCTTATTCTTAGATGTTTTTATTGTTATTGCAGCTGCTACAGAAAAATGTGGCTCTCCACCCTCTATTGCAAATGGATCTCTTACTCTCCCAGCTCTGCCCCAGTATGACAGTGGTTCTTCAGTTCAGTATATTTGCTCTGAGTATCATTTTTTGCAAGGCTCTGAGACAATCTACTGCTCTGAAGGACAATGGACCTCGCCACCAGTTTGTATAGGTAGGTGTGATAAAAAGAAGCATTTATTTCTCTATATAACTCATAGCCTCAAGGAACAGAACAGCCTGGTAGTACCTGGAAGGGCCATCTAGTCCAGTCCCCTGCTCAGAGCCCTGTCCAGCCTGACCTTGGCCTTTCCCAGGAATGGGGCAACCACTGCCTTTCTGGGAAAAGGGAAAATAGGGAAAACTGTTCCAGTGTTTTACCATTCTCACTGGTGGTAATGCCTTCCTTATGTCTAGGTTGAATCTACCCTCTCGTAGTTTAAAATCATAACCCCTTGTCCTATTGCTCCAGGCCCTACTGAAAAGTCTGTCTTCATCTTTCTGATAAGCCCCTTTTAGGCTCTGGAAGGGTGCAATGAGGTCTTCCTGGATCCTTCTTTTTGCCAGGCTGAACAATTCCAATTGTCTCTAAAATCAGATCCTCACAATTTATAATTTGAGTGTTGTCAGCTAGAACTTTTAAGTCTCAATTTCAGTGTCTTCAGTGACATATGAAAGTTTAAATAGAAGCAAGTTAAGCTCATCTGGTGTTTTGGTTGGTGGTTTTTTTTTTTTTTATTTCCTTAACTATGATATCCCTGCAGTATAATAAGACAATAGGAAATAATTAGCAGTTTTTAGTGTAGCCTGGTCAAAATAGTCTGTTCCAAAAAGAATCAATTTATTAGCACTGATCAAGTCTCTCTTTTTTTAGAGCCATGTACTTTGTCAAAAACTGAAATGGAGAAAAATAATGTGCTGCTGCAAGCATTCTATGCAGACCAAGTTTACTTTTACCATGGGGATTATGTTGGATTTTACTGTAAACAGAACCATTTTGGAGCAGAATCTGGCACAACTTTATTTCAAGTACAGTGTGAGAGAGGACAGCTGGCATATCCAAGGTGTGTTGAAAGAGGAAAGCAAGAATGGACTTGAGGAAAGCCCATAAAGGTATGTACGTGTTCTTTATCTCTTATTAGCAGGTGAATTAGGGTGGCCTCGTGTTCTCCAGGTTGCTCCACTCATCTTTGGAAAATGAGTGTTGAGTCTGAGCTGGAGGATGGAAGGGAAAGGCCTTTTTGGGATGAGGATGAGCAGTGTAGCACAGGGATGCAATACTGGCATCCACATGGAAAATGCTGGAGGAAGGACTTGCACATCTTAACAGCACTCATGTGTCCCTTCACAGGTAAGGAGCCTCTAAAGGACTGAACTTGAAGAACAATATAAAACAGCAAATATAAAAAAGCTTTTAAGGGATCTGTAAAACTACTTAAAACCTAAAAGTATACAAATTGACTGAGAAGTTAATTTTTTATAAAACTATTTTAAGAATATTAAAATCCAACTTGGCATGATTTCCTATGACACTTAAATATTGATACTCTTAAGGTTCTGCATGACAACAAGTGTGACTACAGCTATGAAGAAAATCCAGGAATGTGGACAAAGTTTGTCTTGCATCCATTTTAGTCTGTTTTAATAAAAAAGCCACTCTAAGGGTGTCTTCTGTCTTTTATGTCTAAACTCAATATCTGTGAAATCATAGCACGTATGGTGCTCTGTATGAATTTCCAAGGCTTTTGCAAGAGTTACATGAATAAGACAGAAAAAGAAAATGAATGAATGAAAGCATTCAGGAATAGACAAATTTATTTAGTCAAAACCCAGCCAACTAATAGGTGGAAAAAAAGGTTGATAAAAATACTTTACACAGTGCATGTAACAGCAATACCCTTCCTCTTACAGAGCAAACTGGAGCAAAAGGGATTAAAAGGCCCTTGCTGGAACAGCTGCTGGAAGTAGAATTCATTTACCCCCATCACTTCCTCTGGCTGTACCCACAGCCCTGGCTGTGTGGCTGTAAGCACAGGGCAGGGTGAGGGGCATTGCAGACATGAAGGCAGCATCTTGTTGATGAACTTTGAGGCAAAGAACGCATCAAATACTCAAGCTTCTTGTGGGGCTGCTGCCACTAAACCACCTACCTGTTTTAGTGACATGCCACATTTTCTTATTGATTGTTTTAATCCTAGTGTAGCAATAGAATGCCTTTTTGTGACCCTTGATGTCCCTTGTAAGTGCCACTCTGAGCTTCAGCTTTTCTAACATTATCCACACTTGCCCCTTTGGAGCCTCTTTTTGCCTCAATCCCCTGTACATTGATTTTGGTTGTTTTGCTTCAGACATCTCTGTGCAGTCTCTGGTGAGATAAGTCAGTCCAGGCAGATGTGTTTTTCCTCCTGAAGATGAGAACTGAGTAATCTTGTGCTTACAGGATTCTGTTCTTCAAGACCTAGAAGCTTTTCTGGACTCCTATGACTCCCCATTAAGCAATCCCATCTCCTCTTTTCCTAAATAAGTCAAAGTCTGCTCTCCCAAGATGCATGATTTATACTCTGGTACTTGCTTTTTTCTCTCCCTTCTGAATCAGAGTGCATTAGCACATGGCTACCACAGCCAGGCTGACACTGATTTCCACAAAGCACTTTCTCTTTGTTTGTGAAGGGCAGATGGGGCTGGGGGTGGCACAGACTGGCCTATCCAGGGCCTGGACCAGGAACTAGTCCCCACCTTTCCCTAGAAATCCTAATTACTCGCACCCCAACGTCTTGCCTTTGTAGACAAGTCCCCCAGAAGAACTAGTTCTGGCTAGAGACTGCCTCAAGTTGTTCAAAGGAGACTCCATTACTTGCTCTTTCTGCTCAGGCACTCAGGACACTCACCCCAGAGTCACTTCAATGCAAGTGCAGGGAGAAGGTAGGAATAAACAAGGCCAAACACACTTTGTGTGCTGATAATCAAATTAACTGTCAGCTTTAATTCTTGTCTCAGTATGCCACCGAAGCCAGCCTATTTTCAGGCTACAAGTGTTAATAAAATAACAGTGAGATCAGGATAGAATGGATAAAATGTAAGCACAACCCTTTGTCTGCATAAAATGTAAACACATTTACAAAACTAGATCTAATGTGGATAATATGCAAAGACAACCATCCAGTAATAAAAACAAGAACAAATTCCAAGACAGAACATTGGCTAAGCTGCAAACAAAGCCCAGCAAAATGGGAAACACCAGGAAAAGTTGAGCTCAAGTCAGCGGGTTGATTGAGGGTTCTGTCATTGCCACAGCTGGGCTCCCTCTTGTCATTTCCTTTCACTCAAAGGACTATTCTGTGCAAAGAGAAAAAAAAGGGGAAAAGGGATCAACACCAGTCCTGACAGACCCAGGGGCTTCTCAGAGCTGTGAACAGGACATTTCAGCAGAACTGCCCCCTACAACCCCTGCCCCATGTCTTTGGCAGCAAGCACTTACACTGACACACAGGATACAGAATGACTCCATCCAGGCACTGTGCTCTGAATGTCTCCCTCTGGGAAACCGGCCGGTACCAGCGCTTGCACTCAAACACAACAGGGTCCCCTGAGCCATAGTGAGGGCCTGACTCTCTGGATGACTGCAACTGAATATTGTTCTTTTCCATAGCATTCCTATCCAGGAAGCAGTTCCCTGCAAAAAATGAATTCTGTTATTTGCCTGTAGATGTCACACTGGACAACTGATGCTCTGTTGGCACCCCCTGCAAGTGCCCCGAGTGCCCTCTCCCCAGCTCAGGTGTGCTGGGCAATGACTTCCTGGGGGCACTGCCTCTCTATTCCTGCAGCTCCCAGGAGGCTCCCACACCCTGGCTCACAGCCAGGAAAGCAAGGGCTTTCTGCTTCCCTTCAGCACTAAAAATGCAACAACAGAGCAGTGAAGCTGGAGAGTGAAGAGGGTATGACTTACTTCCCAGTGTGCACCGTGGGTATTCCAATGTCCCCTCCACACACTGAACTCTGAAGTTGGGAGTACTTGGATCTTTCACATATCCTGGTTTACAACGAAACTCAATAAAGTCACCCGATGTGGAGTACAGCTTGGCTTGTTCAACCCATTTCAGCTCAATATTGTTTCTGCCCATATCTTCTTCTGATGCCGTACAGGCCACTTGAAAAAATCAAGAGAAGAGTGTCAGTACTTCATACAGACACACCACATGTTTTGCCCCTAGAGCCTACAGAAGTCCTTCACATCAAAAAAATGCTTCCAAGTGTGCTCTGACCCTCTGTTACTTGCAACAGAAAAGACATTCACATCCAAGCTAAAGGAAAGAAAGCCCTGGGAGAAGCCTTGTCACACTGTCAGTCACACAGGGCAAGAATGAAGTACAGGTGGGGAAGACACCAAACACTAATGAACTTCCCCATATATATTTTTGAGAGATCCCTCCTTCCCTTCTGCTCTGTCCTTCTCTAAATTTGTTTTCTCATCACAGAGGCACCCCTGGCTTTCCCCAGCACTGCCACTCATTCAGACCCATCCTCCTGACTCACAGCCTACTGGGTGGAGCCGTGGCCCCAGCCCTAGAGCACTCAGGAGCTCTGCACAAGTGATGGAGATCCCCTCACAGCAAAGATTCAGCCAACTGCCCTCCTCATGGACCTGTTGGCAGCAGAGGGGACTACACAAGCTGAAGTTAAGCAGAAACTCATTTGAGACAAAAGGAGGACTCACTGCCATTCTGCCCTGCCGGCATTTTGGCCCCAGCACCAGTGCTGCCCTCAGGGTCTCAGAAGACAAGAGGAGCAGTCACACAGCCTTTGGCCACCCAGCCCAGGCTTCAACCTACCCAGGCAAACTGGGGGGCTTGTCCACTGCCCATTGAGACAGGTGATTGTCGGAGATCCTTTCAGGATATAGAAATTCGGGCATTTGTATTCCACAGTATCACCTTGTTGATACTCTTGCAAGGGGAAGACAAGAAGCTCTCCACTTTGAATAGCTGGAGGCGTGCCACATCTCTTAGCTTGTCCTGAAAGAAATTTCCTAATCAGAGAGGAAGTTCAACTGCAGAGAAGGTCTGGTCAGAAATACCACCCACACTATGTTGGCACTACTCAGAGAAGCAGAATAAAGCAGAGAGAAAACCAAACAGCTGCCAGGAGCAAGAGTTTCTCATTTCTCCCAAGTTCAGGCTCACAACTGCCAGCTCACCCCCTCTGAGCACAGCTTAAGTGCTCAGCTGTCTGCAGGATTTCATCTTGTCCTGCATAAGGTGTGGCACTTGGCCCTCTTGAGTGAAGCCACCTGGGTCCCTCAGCTTGGTACATTCATCCCATCTGAACAGAGACCTGGGAAATGGCCTGCCTTGTCCTGAGTGTGCCAGAGCCATGGCAGCTGTGCACCATGAGGCCACTGAGATGCTAATCGACAATGAGGCAGCTTTATGGTGCCATCACTGACAGGAGGCTGGATGGAGAGAGAGAGAGACAGAGAGAAGTTACCTTTGCAAGTTGGCAGCTCTGTCCAGGTCCCATTTTTGCACACTACAGTAGATGCCCCAGTCATCTTAAAATTTTTCCAGCACTGATACTTTGCACTCTCTCCAGGCATATACTTAGACTTTCTAATACCATCAATGCTACCACCAGCAATTTCTAGAGGAGGATCACATCTCACATCTGAAAAGAGACACGGCTGCAGTCACCTTTGCAGTTGTTAAGACGTTCATCTAAACAACCAGAAGTGAAAGGAATTAGCCTTGTTACAATTTCTGTACAGGCTTTCTGCCTCACATGTGTCAGAGGATATGGGGAAAGCAATAAGGTGTGGCAGTGGCAGAAGAACACTGTTTGGGACTCTCGGGAGATGGAAGGGTCAATAGGAGTTTCTAGAGAAAGCCAGTGTTTCTGTACTTATGCACAAGAACCACACCAGCCTTGTCTTTCCCTGGGGAGCCCTGGCCTTCCTGGAAACCACAGGGGTGGCAGCCAAACTGATTTCCCGCTGAAGCGCAGAGCTCTGGAGGGCTGGCCCTGCTGGAGGAGCTTGTCAGCCTGTGCTCCTCAGGGCTGGGTAAGCACAGCCAGCTCCATGGAGCTGTGCTCACCCTGCA